TTTCATTTAGAGTTTTGAATCACATTACATCACATAAAATAACAACTATGAAATAAAGCTTATTTAGTGAATGCATTCAAATTTTTCTACTTTATGAATGCTTTGCAATGCATATGATGACATTACATCCCCATGAATAGGATGTCAGGGCCCCACTCGGACTATCCAGCTAATAGCTCACCGAGCACCATGGCTCGTCCATAGAGGAAAATCATGGCACGGCTCAACCCCTCTTGTTGTGAAAACCATGGATGGGGTAACGATCACAAAGACGAGCCGACCCTCGACTGGACCCCCGCTACGCGCGGGGGCTCGAGGAAAGTTGGACTCACAAGGAGATCAAACGCACGGTCGTAGAACGACAGACCCCCGTAAGGGTCAAAATTAGGGAAAGACCTTTTCCGACCCACCAAACCTCATGACTATACCCCCGAGGGGTTTGATCATGATGAAAGGAAATCGTTGTCCCCAAGACATGCCGAGGGCGATAAAAGAAGGCCAAGGCCATCAGAGTCCTCTCGTTCGAAAAAGCCTCCGAAGGAGTATTCTACTCCTCCACAAGCTCGGGGGCTACTATGGGGGATCAATACTAGGGTACCCAAAGAGGAGAAGCTAATGACAATCAACATTGATTTATCCGAGCAGTCAAGAGCTTGACTATGGCTCGAACCGACCCCCAGGCGCGCAAGCTCTGCCTTGTCCGACCTCTAGGGGCGACCTCCGCCTTGCCCAACTTCTAGGGGGGTTCCGCCTCGCCCGACCCCAAGGCCGCGGGCTCCGCCTCGCCCGACCCTTGGGTTTGCACTCCGCCTCACCTGACCCCAAGGCCATGGGCTCCGCCTCACCCAACCATTGGGTTTGCGCTCCGCCTCACCCGGCCCTTGGGTTCGTGCTCCGCCTCGCCCGACCCCGAGGCCACGGGCACCGTCTCGTCCGCCCTCTGGGGGTAGGCTCTGCCTCACCGACCCTAAGGCCGCCAGCTTCAGCCTTGTCCGATCTCTAGGGGTGGGCTCCACTTCGCCCGACCTCTGGGGGTAGGCTCTGCCTCGCCCAACCTCTAGGGGTAGGCTCCACCTCGCCTGACCCCGAGGCCACGGGCTCTGCCTCACCCAACCTCTAGGGGCAGGCTCCGCCTCACCCGACCTCGAGGCCACGGGCTCTACCTCGCCTGACCTCTGGGGGCAAGTTCTACCTCACCCGACCTCTCGGGTGTGGGCTCTACCTTGCCCGATGCGGTCCCATACTGTCGCCAACTACTTCGGGTCCAAGCATATGGGCCTGGGTCAAAACTCTGACACCAAGGAAGAGATCGGCATTCCCTGATGTAACCCGTGGCCACGATGGGCCATATCTGAGGATTCACATCAAGAACAGCGTCAGGCGTACCGGCACTGTTCTACCTAACCCTCATACGAACACTGACAGGCATGTCGGTTCACCACAACGTCCACCAGGACGGAGTGAAGCACCATGACCGGCAGACGACGCATGCGCATGGTGCTAGTGACAGACAAGACCATGACATGGCACCATCCCTGTTGACATCTACTGTGCCGGTGGGACCCGCATGAAGGAGAAGGACCCGGCAATCCTGAAGGCCTTTTGCTCTCTCTCTCTCGTTCTCCTCTTTTCCTCCGCTGTAACCCGTGCTTTCCCCTGGCCTATAAAAGGGAAAGCAGGGTGCTCCATTGAAGGGCATTTGATAACCGATCGGATCGATTCAAGTCAGGTCCGAACAAGCCCATCGAACTCTGAACACACTACGGGCGAGCAGCAACCGAGCTCTCTCAACACCCGTTCACTCCTTTCACCAGAGACTTCGGACCCATCCCTCTCTCACTCGTTTGGAACCCCTAGTATGAACTTTTAGTGCTAGTAACATGAGCAGCAGCAATGAACTAGACGTCTGCCCGAACCAGTATAAATCTTATATCCTCTAAGCACACCATTCGAGCTAGACACGCAATATTAGAAATTTACTTATTGGTGGTGACTTGAAACACCGACAGGAATGCTGTTGAGAACACTTATGAGGATGCATTTCATCACACCACATCATATCATGCATGTCAGTATATATGCATTCGTGATATCTTATTTTATGCTCATACATATAGGATCGTCCGAGGGGATCACTCTATTGGAATTCAATGAAGAAGAAGAGGAACATCAGGAGGCACCTCAGCCCGTAGCTCCAGAAGGCGACGAGCAAGCTCTTGAGGACCTACCCGAGTGCCCGGATCATCGGCCAACTTCTTTTCTCAAAGACAAGCCCCAGAGCATTTTAAACCTTCCATGTTTTACAAAATATCACTTGAGTCCTTTATGTTTGATGCATTAGATTACAAGAGTTGAATTGGAAACACTTGATGCATAGAACTACCTTGTCCAGATAAATATACCTTTAACCCTATGTAGGTCTAGGATCGAATATATGCTTAGCCATACTTAGACCGGTAGAAGTCGAGTGATTTCCTATCACCTGCGATATATAGGTGGATACCGGAGCACGGTTGGCTATATTTGCTATTGTGGAAAAGAACCATGGGGTAATATAACTGGAGGTCGGACGGAGTCTATGCGTAGGTTGGCTCATGTGATTCCATCTATGCCGATTAAGGACCGTACCGTTGTTGGAACTTCTGTTGAGATTAAACGCATGCCTCTCACTTAGCTAGCTGGATAACTCATTCCGACCGCGAAGCCGAGTAGCTCAACTCAGGTCGAGCCCCGTTCTGTTAGAGTGAGCACTCTAGATGGTAGTAATGATGTACGGGGAGCTAGATGTGAGCCCAAGGGCAGGGTAGTCCTGATCATCCTGGCAGTTGGTTGCGCGGCGCTGATCGAACCCGCGAAATATGTACCTAAGTTGTACCAAAGGTGACATAAGGTGACCGTTGATCTGGTCTGCCTGGGTTTGTGTTAGGAATAAATTTCTAGCTGATTGAAATCGATTCGAATCGCCGTCTCTCCTGGACAGTGAGAAACTTGGCTAGATCCAACATCGTAGTAACTGGATTATGGAATGATGGTTATGGTGAACTTGGAATTTTTACACCGACTATGGTTACTACTGTATGCTACTAAATGATATACCACATGTTTGGCACAGGTTAGTTACTAATCTAGAGATGAATAGCTATATTTAACTTGATGACCAAATTATAAATGTATAACTGAATTAGTAGCTTTTCATGCAAAATGTTGTCAAGCTAGCTCCACTTATAAAGCCTTGCATGATCCTTGGAGTCACTTTCTTTTTGGTTTATGATGGGTAAGTCTAGCTGAGTACCTTCTCGTACTCAGGGTTTATTTCCCACTTGTTGTAGATGGTACAGTCTATCATGCCTACTGTAAAAACTGCTTCTGTCCTGCCGTGTACGAGGAGTAGGGCCCTGGGCAAGGCGTCTCTCGTTAATTCCCTCTATCATGTTTTTATGGCTATGATCATGGACTGGAACTGTATTGGAACAATGATGTGAGGTGTTGGTTTTCAAACTTAATTGCTTCCGCGACTATTTTATTTGAACATGGTTTGTAATAACTCCTAATCGTACTCTGATGTATGACATTGTATTTTTGAACTGATGTAATATGTGACATGCCTATTGAATCATGTATGATATTGGTTGTATGTTGACGGTTAATCGGGACCCTTCGTGGTACTCGACAGACTACCGGGTTTATATGGGTTCAAGTATGATAGTGTGACCGTTTGCGGACTATCATTGTACTTGTGCTCTTATAAATTGGACGGTTCTGTTACATTAATCCTATCGTCTAGATATTTGGCATCGTCCACCTTCAACAACATTCGCCATCTGTGTAGGTAGGTACCAATTTTGTGAGAAACTCATTAGAGACCATAGAATCTTTCTTTCAATCCCCATCTTATTCTTTCTAACATTCCATAATTCTCACATGATAATTGAATCCCCCAACCCCACATGCCCACAGTCCTCACCTGTGGCTAACGAACAAAGGTGGAAGATGACTCGCATGGGCAATTTGGTCTATTCACCGCCCTTTCTCTCTCCCAAACCACGAAAATGAATATTTTAATGGTGCGGTGTCTAGCGACAAAGAATCACGATTTCATAATGGTAATGGGTATATTTTAGAGTTGGTGGTGTCTAGCAGCATATTAGATGTTTGTGCGGTGTCTCTGAGCAAAATTTGCCTAAAAACAAAATAAGATAGATTCAGCTATATGGCATTGAAAGAGTATATGATCCCACATAGGCAACAATTCTTGCTACACTTCCATTTTCTTTTCTTCAAATTAACCCCTATTTGCAACCTATCATGTGTGGCCAACCAAATAAACACCTTTAGCTTGGTTGGGATTCTACTTTTTCATAACTTAGACATCCTCCGGTTAGTCACACTTCTAAATGTCAACCTTCTATACAATGATTCAGTAGAATAGTTCCTGGATGGCAAAATTGGCACTGGACATTGAAATTGACCACTTTTGCTTAAGGATATTCAAAATGGAGCGATATACTAGAGGACAACCTGGTTCTTAACAAATTTACTGGTGGACACTTCATTCAATAAAACATTAATTTCTGGCTTTTGTGAGAGCGAAGCATGGTAAAATATCCGTTTTGGTGCCATTAAGATTCGTCGCACCAATGCCTCCACACATGAAAATTAGTTGGAATATTATGTCTTCGTACCTTGTGTAATCTCTGTATTGCTTCCATGCTTCTCTTCTCTAGCTTCTCATCTTAACCCCAAGTTCCATAGAGATATACTGCTGCTTAGGTAGTTAAGTTGTTTGTCGAAGATTCTGAGATTGTAGCCACCGTTTCTGAATCAATGTACAAATTATTGATGCAAGTATAAATCATTTTCCGAGAGTATATAAATCAGTCTTGGTATGTCCGTTGCAAACTCCTAGATATATGAAGTTGCTGGCAAGCACATTTTAATCACTGAAATTTACAATCTAGCACTACACTACTGCTAATACTGTTACTGAACTGGTTAGCATATCAGTAGTTCCAGAAAACTTGGTTTCTCCTATGCTGCTTCCTGAGGTAGACGCCGAGCAGCTTGTAGTACGTCCACCGCCTCTTCCCGGCGGTGGCCTCCAGCAACACCTCGGAGAAGGCGTGGAAGCCGCCCTTGCCGAACGCCTCGAACACGATGGCATCCGTGGCCACGACTGGCTCGGCGTTGCCGTCAAGCCGGTCGAACGCGAACGTGAGGTTCCGGGCGAGGCGGCGCTCGAGGTAGGCGTCGACGAAGCAGCCGTGCGTGACGAGGTCCGGCGCGACGCCGTCGCGGCGCATGTGGTCGGCGCTGAGGTGGAGGTCCCAGAACATGCACATCTTGGAGAACGCCGCGGCGCGGATGTTGAAGGTGGTGAGGTCCGGCCGGAACCCGGCGGCCACCATCTCCAGGAACGCGCGCTGCAGGGACTTCTGCTGGGAGATGTAAGCGGACGCCACGGCGCGGATGGCGCCACGGGTGATGAGCAGCCCGGTCTTCTTGTGCCGGCGGTAGGCCGCCTCCATCTGCGGGATGGTTCCGGCGGCCGCGTAGGCCCGGACGAAGGTGTCCCCGGTCGCGGCGTCGACGCGGAGGCCAAGGCGGCTCATTTCTAGCACGGCGTCCTCCATGCGCACGAGCTCGCCCGCGGCGCCGAGGCAGGAGACGGCGAGGAGTGTTGAACGGACCGAGACGGGGCCACGGGCGCAGGGGGCGTTCAACTTCGGACGGGGGAGATACGTCCGTACAGCAAAATGAACAGTAAGCATAAGCGGGCTGCTGAAAGACGTATAAAATGGTAAAATTTAGTGAAACATTGAATTATAATGATAAATTTTAAATCTCAAAATAAATAAATTTTAATAGTACATTTTAGAGTTTTAAAAATTATAACAGTATCGATCAAATAACCCTTTGTTCCACCTTCTCCTTCCTCTTACCATGGCCATGACCAATAAATGAATTTTAATAGTATATTTTAGAGTTCTAAAAATTATAACGGTACCGATCAAATAAGCCTTTGTTCTACCTTCTCCTTCCTCTTACCATGGCCATGACCATGGAGATAGGCAGCAACACGGACACGACCTCGCTTGGAAGGGCAGCAAGTGCTCCCCGAAGCGGACGCGGCCCTGTGGGCGCTAGCTCAGCCTGGCAGCTTGCCGTCCCAGAGCGCGGCGTCGAGGAGCAGGTTGTTGAGCGTGGCCAGGACTGCATCCAGGACCCGAGGCCGTCCACGAGCCGTGGGCGCCGAGGATGGTGGCGCCTGCGTGGGCGTGTGCGTCGCCAAGTCTGTCGCCGAGCACCGCCCGCTCTCTTCCGCGTTTAGAGCTCCGTGGACCGCCGTTCCTGCTCCCGCTCGGCCTCCGTCCCCGTCTCCGTGGGCTCCTCGCGCTGGTGGCATCCGCAGTCGAGTTCGCCCCTCCGACGCCTGGTGGACGGAGAGCTGGCTCCTCAGGAGCGAGCCGCTCTGCCCTGACCGAGCTGCACCCGCGGGCGCGGTCATGGTGGTGGCGTGCTCGCGGTACGCGGCCATGGTCTAGGCGGCCTTAGGGCTGCGGCCGCCCTGCTGTGCAGCAGCACGCGCGCGGGGACCCACGCACACGCACCGCGACGCCGTTCGCGCAGACCCGTGCCGGGGCTAGCTCGCAATTGATCCCGCCGATCCGCGCCGGGCTCGCGCCTCCGCTCCGCTTGGCCCACGGCGGGGCCCATGCGCCACCGCCCTTGTCTGGCCTCGCCGCGCTGCGCGCAGGCGCTGGTGCTCCCTCGTGCTCTGCGGCTTCCCCGCCACCGCCCTCAGGCGCGAAGTTGCCCGCGATCTGCACGGCCAGGTCCGCCGACCGAGTTGGCCACGGCCGCCGCGGCGCGGGGCGGACGGAGCTGCGCGTTCCACGGCGATGCCGGTGTGCGGTGGAGGAGGAAGGGCAGGATGAAGAGCAGGGGAGGTGCGAGCTCACTGTGATGGGCCTGCGTCGCTGCTGCTAGAGAGCAGAGTGTGAGAGGAGAGGGGAAGAAGAAAGGAGAAAAAATAATATTCCATCTCTGTTCTCTTTCCTCGGCTGGTGGAAATAAATAAAATAAGGGGTGCGGTGTTTAGTAGTATAATTGTCAGCAACGAAGGTGTCTTCTAGCAAATGGATCCATTTTAGATGTTCCACTGGCAAACGACCTTCACTTTCAATCAGCCTGTTCGGTTGGCTGGTTCGTTTCATTGCTGGTTCGTGAAGAAATACTACCTGATTTGTGTATGAGAGAAAAATACTATTCCGACTAGAAATTTACAATCATTTACGACAAGCCACAGCCAAACAAACATGCTGATGTCTACTAGCCAATTTTCCCTTCCTAGATTTATCGATAACCATACAAAAGTATCCTTCTCTTTATTAGGTCGAAACTCTTTCTAAGAGCATCTATAGGAGTACTTTATTAAGACTTACTCTTTAAATTATTATTTGGCAAGACATTTGAATAAAAATCAATCTCTATGTCTTTTCACACTACAATAACTCTCTATATCTGTGTGCATTCTAGAGAGCCAATCCCGCTCTAACCTATTAGAGAATATTTTTCATCAAAATCTCTATTCTCACCAATAAAGAAGGATATAAAGAAGCTCTTCGAGTTGCTTTAAGGTGATGTTTGGTTAAAACTTTATAAATGCAAACGTCAATGGAATTGATACCATCGTGATGGATCAAGATCATATGGGTTTGACGGACCAAGATCCTAAGGGTTCCTCATAGGGCCAACTACTCGGCAAGGAGATGGGTCGGCCCACGGTCTGCCAGGAAGGCACGGAAACAAGGTGACGTGTCTTCCAAGGCAAGAAAGACCGACCTAGTCGGATTTACGAAAAGTCCATCTTTGTAATAGGATTATAACTCTTCTATTGTAACCAACTAGGATAAAAATTATGTACCTGCCCTTAGGACTATATAAAGAGAGTCAAGGCACCCCTTCGTAACATCATCATACTTAGCAATCCAACGCAAGGCAACACGCCAAACTAGATGTAGGGTATTACGATATCCAGTGGCCTAAACCTTTATAAATCATTGTCTCGTGTTAACCATCGAGTTCAGTTTATGCTGAAGCCCAACCAATCCTCACTCTGGGTAACTCCGTAGCAAGGTTGCCGGTCACCAAACACCGACACGTCGTGATCTAAATAAATGTAACAAAAAACTATGATTGTTTGGTTCGTATTAATAATGGAAAGGGAAACTGGTCATCCTCCTCCTTTTCTCCTCGCTCTGCCTTATGATATTCGCTTCGGCACTCCCTCTCCTTAGTGCTACCCCCTCAAGCTCTAACCACAGGGATGAGGCATCCCGACACGCCACCACCTCCTGTCGATCTCCTGAGCTCATCTCGCGTCTTCCTTCTTCGTCTGGTCCTCGCTATCGACAGCGCAAGCTCGAGCTTTGACCATGGCCATGCCTGACCATGGGGGAAGTGACATCCCAACCCACTACTGCAGCCCCTACTGATCGACTTATGCCTCGGCCGCCCACGCCTCTGCCCGCCATAACCACACGGCTCGTCGCTCCCATGCTCGATGCCCTCATGGTCGTGCCCCCCCTCGGCTGGCGCCCCAGTCCTGCTGCGCCTAGTAGACCTTGAGGACGGTGCCCCATTAAAAGCTTCGACACCAGGATCGGATGATAAGAAGGAGAACAATGAGCAACGAGAAGCTTGCGGTAACAGGATCTGTTTTGCCTCCTCATGTGTTCTTATCAACTTTTAACTAACTTTTAACTAAGCTGAGATCCGATTCCACGCTATCGCTTTACACTGTGCTAGAACCAAATATAAACAACACAATCAACTTGCGTTGTAATCAAATCACCAAGCAAAATGAACGAACCAAACAGCACCTAAGATATCAATTAGGGCCTATTTGGGTTACGCAGTTTCGGAAACTATAGTATCACAAAACTGTGGTTTTTTAAGCCAAAGAGATATAAAACCATATGATTTAGAAATAAGAGGTCATGAGTAGAGTTTTTAAAATTTCAAAAAGACTACAGTTTTTACAAAACTATGATTTTAGAAACTACAAAGTTTATTGTATCGAAACACCCAATAGTTTTTCGGAAAGTAATGCAAACGTGGCCTTAGTCTCTCACATTCCGCCATATCCTCATTTCGCAGTAAAAAAAAAATCCACGGCGTGCAACATATCCTCCTCGTTTCGCATTAAAAAAAATCCACGCTGTGAAATCGTACGAGAATGCACATACTGAACCCCGCCCCGGAACTGTCGACGCCGGCTCGAACACGAAGTCACGAACCCAACCACCTCGCCAGTGAGCGCCTCCCTCCCGTCTCCTCCTCCCCTGCTGGTCAGAACTCCGAATCAAATCACTGCTCCCCCAGCTTCCTTTACCTTCGCAGCAAGCAAGCCTCCCCGATCGGCGCTGCTCCGGCGCGGGGAAGCGTCCTCTCGCGGCGGCCGGGAAGACCAGTTCACGCCGCCAGTCCCGGCGGCGGCTTCCGTGAGGTGCCCTTGGCTCCTGGGGCAGCGGGCTCGTGGCGGCCGGCGGGATGAACAGCCACGCGGCCGGAACAAGCAACGGCGGATCAGGGGATGCGGCCGCCGGGGGCGCGGCCAGGAGGAACACCAGGATGCCCAAGTGTGAGATCTCGCGCCGAATCTATCCCTTGTGCTTCCCGTATTGGCGGTTCTCCCGTTTCGTTCAGGCTAAGGAAGGGACGGCGCGATAATATATGCTGGGGCTAGTGGTTTGGTGTTAATCTGGCCCCCTTTGGGTTTGGAGATGCTGCTAGCTTATGCTCTCTTTTGGCGTTGATATTTTTGTTGCCATGTTGTTAATCGTGGGAGCTTGCGTATTAGTGACTGTAGCCAGTTCGATCCAGAAGAAAAACCGTAGATTAGTTGGCACACGATGGTGTTATTTACATACTGATTGTGGGCTTGTGGCTAGTTCAGTTCAGTACTAAAATAGTCAATCTAGTTATTTCAGTGCATGATAGTTTCATTTTCTTATTGATTATTGGTAGTTCAATCCAGAAGAGAAACCGTCAATCCAGGTGTTACATGATGGTATTACTTCGTTAGTGATATCCTGTCATATTAAGTCCAGAAGAAAACCTGTCAATCTAGTTGGTACACAACAGTATAAGCTTCTTAGTGATATAGCTAGTTCAATAAAGATGAAAAAGCGTCAAACTAGCTTTGGAATGATGGTATTGTTTACATTACACATGTTTGGACTTTGGACACTGGGTATCAATGACATTATGAGGTCAGAAATTGTGATCACCTGTTAGATAAATGCTAAGCCTGTGATGCGACTTGCATCTGCGGATCCCAAATCTATTCTTACTCAGAAATTCTTATGTACAGATTCCAAGTTCACACAGCAAGAGCTGCCGGCTTGCAAGCCGATTCTTACTCCAAAATGGGTAGGCTTACTGGCTGTGGAGATTATGACGCTACTGGTTGTGGAGATTTAGAAAACTAACATCGGAGAAGCTCACAGATGTTTCGATCTTTGACTTATGTTTTGTAGGTTGTCTCTGTTTTCTTCATCGTCGGGGTCATCTTTGTTCCCATTGGTGTTGTTTCACTGCTAGCTGCAAGAGATGTATGCTGCCTTTTGTCTTGTGGCTTCTGTCTTAAGATAGATGTTGTGGGTTGTGGTAGTCTCATCTTTTTTCTATTTATACATGTTGACTGATTGCAGGTTGTTGAGATTATTGATCGGTATGATGAGGCATGTGTGCCAGGCAACATGACTGATAACAAGCTTGCTTACATCCAGAATGAAACCATATCCAAAGAGTGCATAAGGAATCTTACGGTAATAAGCTTAGACTTTCATGGGCATTGATTTACCGTTTGAAATACTAAGGCATAGAAGAAGCAAAAGTGCAATTAAATAGAATTTTTAAAATGATTATAAAGCTGGAACAAACATGCAGTCCACAGCATACATCTTCTATCAGATTTATCACAATTTTCTTTGCTGAAGCATTGAATTAATTTCTTTCCAGGTTACAAAGCATATGAAGCAGCCTATTTTTGTGTATTATGAACTCGATAACTTCTACCAGAACCATAGGAGGTATGCTGTTTTTAAGATTTGCTGACAAATTGACAATCATTTGAATCTTTATCCCTTGGCACAAATTGACAGCTACCACTTTCCTGATGTTTATGAATTATCATTTGCAATCGTTATGCTATTTTAATTGGAAAACATGATACAACAACTTAACTGCTAACTTGGATATCTTACCGCCAAAGAAAAAGTGAACAGTCTTGCATTGGAGATTTACCATGCGCTTCCCTGATTCAGGTATGTAAAGAGCCGAAACGATGCGCAGCTAAGAGATGCTAGTAAAGCTAACCAGACATCCGCTTGTGAACCTGAGAAGACCACAGCTAATGGGCAACCAATTGTTCCTTGCGGCCTCATTGCTTGGAGCTTGTTTAATGATACATATAATTTCACTCGTGGTAATGAGAACTTGACAGTGGACAAGAAAGACATCTCCTGGAAGAGTGATAGGGAGCATAAATTTGGTAAAGATGTCTATCCGAGCAACTTCCAGAATGGTGCACTTAAAGGTGGAGCAACACTTAACCCAAAGATCCCGGTATGTGAACTTTTATTCTGCACCATCATATTGTGGCATATGCTTGTATAGGGAGACTATTGTTCATTTAGTATACATCTGCAACATCATAATTTCTGCTATTGTCCATTGATTTCTTGTTCATGTGGATAAATAAAAGCTGTATGGGTAAGGAATATCTGTGGCAGCTATTCATGTCAGTTGAATGTTATGTGACAGTTGAGTGAGCAAGAGGACCTCATTGTTTGGATGCGGACTGCAGCACTTCCTACGTTCAGAAAGTTATATGGAAGAATACACTTTGACCTCAAGGAGAATGACACAATAACAGTGAGATTGAATAACAACTACAATACATATAGCTTCGGCGGCAAGAAAAAGCTGGTCCTCTCCACTGCAACCTGGCTTGGAGGGAAGAACGATTTTCTTGGCTTTGCATACCTTATAGTTGGTGGGCTCTGCATTTTCCTGGCATTTGCATTCACCTTGCTGTACTTCGTAAAACCAAGGTTAGTGACTTTTTACTGTGTTGCAATCACTTGGAAATTAGCTGTGTGCTGCATTTAGTCTGTGAACCCGCTATATATATGCATATGCTATCCACTGTGATAGCCATACTGTGATGTGATGCTTGCTGTTATGTAATCTGGGTTTAGCCTATCAAGTTTATAGAAAACCTGTAGTCAGGTATTCTGATTATGCCTGGTGCAGCCCATCTTTTACGTCAATTACTGGTTGAGGTGGCCTTCAGGCTTTAGGCTGTATGAGTACATTTCATGTCACACTACTTTGGTCCTGTTGTTGAAAGTACTTACATAGGTGCATCTTCTATAAATTTTGGTGGACTAGAACCAGACAATCCACTGTTCTGTTTTACTTTGCTGGTTTTGGTCCTTCACACTGCTATTTTGCTTATCATGGTACATTGTGTTGAGTATGTTATGCACTGTGGACTGTGGCCTGGCATGATCAAGGCTTGTACCATAAGAATGATTGTTTTAGGACTTTCTGTGCTTGTTAAAGCATCTGTCTATCATTATTTTTCATTGACACCCTACACGAGTGGAAATGCTAATCCAATCTGTGGCCTTCGGCAGGAAACTGGGAGACCACAACTACTTATCCTGGAACAGACACCCTGCAGGACGCTAAGATGTTTTGGAGCGCCAAGTGTCCGTACTACTTGAAGTGTAACTTGTCGTTGGTCATAAGCAAGTATGGTTCAGGCTACAACTTCACATTTTTTACAAAGGGATCTAGGTGGCTGCGTGATTTTGTTTCTTGTGTTCTTTAGAGCTGCATGTAGCAGTGATCATGAGAATACCTATAGATCTCTAATGGTTTGCTTCGTGGTACGAGCACTCTAAACGCTTTCCTCTAATAGTGTACTATGTGATGTTCATGCATCGGCTACCGAAGATCTGTTATCAGTCAAGGGTGCGTGGGTAATGATTGATGTAGGTTGATTGTAATATCCACAGTGGGGAATAGTACTGTCTGATGTTTGTTTGTCTACTACGATTTTATAGTATACGAGTGTATGCTCTTATCTACATTTGGGTTGGAAGTACAGCCTGCACGGTCAAAATGCCCTTCTACATGTTATAAGAATCGAAAGCATAATCTACAACACTGGAGATGCATATGCGAAATTCGTTTTCACTTCTTTATTGCTCCACAGGTGGACAATGGAAAGCATGACTTGAAAACTTTGAGACGCATGTTCGGAGTTCATTTTCACTTCCTTTATTGCTCCACGCAGGTGAAGACAACTCGAAATCTTCTTCGCAACATGGCTCGTGACACTCAGATAATGTTCAGCCCCAGATGCCGCAAGCATAAGGGTAGCTCAAGCTAATTACAGTAACCTAGTCGAGAACAGTCACCTCCCTCCCATCCATCAGCACAAGTTTCTTTTGGATATTCAGTCCATAGCTAGATAATAGAGTATAAGGCCAGTCCCAATGGAGATTTCACGGCCCTGTTACTAATGCATCCATATTTTAAAAATAGTGCAGAAGAGTTTCATCCTCATTAAACTTTATGGACTCCCACGAAACTCTTATCATCTCTCTCTTCATCAATACGATGTCACATCAACCTATTTAATGCCCATGAAACTCTGATGAAACCCCACTGAGACTGAACTAAAGGAACACTCATAGAATTATTGCACGGTTAAGCCCCCATTTTTAGCTGTTCAGACATTCTGTTCGGCACTTGTGCTGCCACTGTTTCCTCCTGTTCCCCATTCTGATTCTTGGTGAGCCACTCTTGAGTGGCAACCAGGTCGGGGAGCACCGTTGCGCCTGACTGCCTCCAGCTCTCGGCGTCGGCAGTCTTGAACCGGTCCAGGAGCAGCGCATGCATCCCGATGCTCCTGGCGGGGGTGTAGTCCTTCCGCATGCTGTCACCTATGTGGAGCGCTTCTTCTGGAGCGACGTTTCCTGCCATCTCCAACGCTATCTTGTAAATTCTTGGGTCTGGCTTCTCGACGCCAACCATGCCTGAGAACACCCCGAAGTCCCATTCGGAGCCCTAGTTGCAAACCAAGACATGCATTAGTATTTAGTAGAATACTGCATTCATACCACAAAGAAAGCAGATTATTATAGAAGCATGTAACTGTGATGTGTGATCCAGTGGATATTGCACCTGGTTCAACCCTAAAGCTGGCAAGATTACATCTTTGTAGCGGTACTCTGCATCGCTGACAACACCAACAGTGAGTCCCTTTTCCCGCGCCCACCGCATGAAGGGCTGTGCATCAGGGAACGCTGAGTATGGCGCAGAGGAGCCAAAAGCAGAATAAATGCGCCTGAAGATTTTCTCAAATGTCTCCTCATCATAATCATAGCCAGCCTGCAGTTTGTGATAGATTATAGACCAACTGAATCACTAGGCCCTCTCAACATTAAGAAAACACACCACTAATCCAGACAAGCTTCAGATTTGTAAATTGGTCTTACCTTAACGAATGAATTCTTAACACATGTCCTCCACCATTCAATGTTCGGCATCTTAGCTGCAAATCCAAAACAAGGGTACTGTCTTGCCATCTCAGTGTATGCAAGCTTGAAGCCCTCATGCATGCGGTTGTAGTCAGGACATGGCATCCCAGCAGACTTAGCTGCCATACAGTAGTAATCCCCAAGGTGTCCTTTGTAAGCAATCAGTGTACCAGTAACATCCACGGTGATCAAGCGTAACTTTGAAAGTAGAGACATGCTTGGCAGTGATCTGAACTGTGGTCTGTGTATACAATCTACCTGCACAGTCACATAGTGAAAATTAGGACCAGACCACCATTTTTTGCAGAACCAGCACAACAGGCATTACAAAAATATAGCATCAATGTTACAAAATTAATTTTATATATAGCTGAGCGGCAGCGCCTGAGCTCATATATCATAGGCATGGAAGGTGCACTCAGAAATTAACTTTGCAATGAGATGCTCCTCCCTCCCTCCCAACTATTCCCTCTGTTCACAAAAAGATACAATTCTCACTTTTCGATAGTCAAACGATTTGAAATTTGACCAAAGTTATATTAAAAAAGTACTAACAATTATGGTACAAGATAAGTACCATTAGATTAGTTATGAAATATATTCGTAGTAAACCTAGTTGGAGACATAAGCGGTAATACTATTCACTATAAACTTGTTAAACTAGTTTGACCTACACAAATCTCATAGTTGCATCCTTTTGTGGATGGAGGGAGTAATACCCAAGACCTTTTTTTTTCCATAGTGAACCAATGCTTTTTTGCAATGGATGACACATTCAATTTAAGTCAAAAGGGCCAATCGCTATATTACAAAAATGAGTGCTGCAGAACACAAAAGTACCGCTCTACCAGCTGAATGGCAAGAATTATACCATATTGCCCCCTTAGGAACAAAGGAAAAGCACACAAATTTTGGAGGATTGTAATCCTATAGGAAACTTTCCTATATGTCAATTTGGAAGAAAGGACTAAACCCTGTGAAATTCCTTTGGATTACTATGAGATGCATTAAACCATATGCAGGAAAACTAGAATGAGATTGGACCTCATGGAAACTTTCCTTTGTGTCTCTCAGTCTCATGGAATTCCTGTATTTTTTTTCCTGAAAAACGTCTAGATAACATGACAAATGGGGAATAGAAAGGAAAAATAAACGTGCTGGGCAATCATTTTGTCAAACCATCAGGATGTACTGATGTGGCATCTAGGATGAATGTACAGTACCAACTTCCACAGCAAAGTCAACCTACATGGAACATTTCCTCCTTACATTGGAAATAATATAGTGAAACAAATTCAGCAGTGACCGCCGAGCAAAGCATCCCTGATCTCAGCAACAAGGCAGGAAGGTAGTAAGAATGAATATTCCGTTTCTACCAAGAAACACTCCAAACCCCTTGTAACTCCTAATTTTCAACATTTCTGTCATCGATGATTACTAACACCTCCAGGCCATCTAACCTATCCTGGTTGAAATCCCCATTCATTTTATTTCGCAAGAAAAGTAAGCAGGTATAAGGCCATCACCGACCTCCTTGGTTAATAATAACAAACAAATAGCAAATCTCAACCAGAAAGTGGCAGGGACAAATCCAAAATGCTCCATTACCTAGAAAACGATCGATGATTGAACCTCCAGTCGCGGTAATGCCTGCAAGAAACAGAAGAAACACGAGATCCGGTCAGGCAACCAACAGAGGTTCTGGTTCACCTCGCAAGATCCTATCTTTCTGCGCAAGAACACGGCAAGAGCCAACAAACGGATACGCCAAAGATGAGAGATCGCTACCTCCCAACCACGGCAGCTGTCCAACCGGAACGGGAGAAAAGTTGCGGCCTTGGGGCCTGAGATATCAAGAAACCGGCTGAACCTGTGGGCTCCTCCCAGTTCCTTGCCTATGAGGTCCAGGTTTTGATGTTTGGGAGGTGGGATTTCGATTGGTTTTTCGGTGGTATAAGTACTGGGAGTGGGGAGTGGAAATCTGTGGAATTGGGAATGGGATACCGGCGGTGATGGTCCATGGTTTTGGTTCATCGGATTTCAACCATACTTTAATGGCACCTGGGGGAGAAAGCAGCCGATAGGTACGCGTGTCCCACTGTTGTACTAGTTGTACTAGTAGTAGTGAAAAGTTTGCAAGGGATAGGCGTGCCATGTCACGAATAGACCAAAGACTGTTTTCTTCCATGTCAACAACAGAAGTGCATCTTCAGTGGGCGACTTGTGGTCTGACGTTTGCTGGAGAAATCGAATCACCTCGAGTAAGGGAGAAGAAGAAGAACCGATGCATATCTGAGAGTGGATTCGTGGTGAAAGAAAATGGAGCAACCCCACTTACCGGAGGGCTTGCCGCACCGCACCGTCGTTGCGGCCGCGCGGTCGGCAAGTGCGACGGTGCGAGCTCGATGGAGTAGGTAGAGCCGAGGACACGTAGCAGGCAGAGCAGGCCAAGGATCTTGGGGGCGGCCGGCGAGCGGAGGAACCGACGAGGGGCTCTGCAGTTCGAGCACTAGGCGGCTGGCCCAGGTGGCGCAGCCCCGCGCGGAGTGCCTGCTTGTGCTTGTGTAGCGGGGAAAAGAAGCCGGGATTGGGGAAGAACGGGAGGGCGACTGATCATTTTATATATTTTTTATTTATTATATGCTTTTGTGTCTAATGCCTCCAAAAAGTATGATAGTATCGCTTCTTTAGAAGTTAAATAATTCACATTTAATTAGGTTTATAAAAATAATACCAATATTTATACTTCTAAATATATTCTATGGTTGATCTAACAACACTTGTTATGCATCAAAGATATTGTTCCTTCGTACTAAAATTTAAGTTACTTTGATCTTACATTAATGTTAATCCCTTGTCTAAAAAATATCAAAATATGGCTTCTCGAGAAGCCAAATAATAAAAGTTTAATTAGGCTTATAGAATAGATTTAAACATATTTATTGCATAAATATATTCTATAATCAATTTAACTATACTTATTATATATCAAAAGTGTTGTTCCCTCCGTACTAAATTGCAAGTATTTTGGTTTTACATAAATTTTACTTATATTTAGACATAATGTATATCTAGAGCATAGAAAAAAACTATGTATTTATAAAAGTTAAAATGATTTACAATTTAAAATAGGGAGAATGATATTTTTTTATACATTTAGTCAAATTTAAAATTGTTTGACTACTCAAAAAGCAAGGTTTTCATTTTTCTTATGAAGAGTATTGTTTAGGTCCATACCGGCTAGTCTAGCATTAGGAGATTGTAGGCTCTTTCTAGCCAAATCTTACCCTTGTTTTGTTCGGTAGAGGTCTATGTTTCTACTTCCTATTTGAGAAGCTCTCCACGTCTTCCAAATATGTGGTTTGATTTACAATTTTCATGAAAAATCTACTATAAGACACTTTGCAAGCCCTTAGGATCTTTAATTTGCTTCTTTCGTCATTCACTATGAATATAGTATATTAAAGTAAAGAAGATCATAAAGATATGAAATACAGAAATAGGTGAACTTTTTTATTATCTGAATATTGATAATTACTCTCTCCATCCTAAATTGTATGTCATTTTGGCTTTCCTAATATATAGTTTTTGTATTGTAATATATATAGACATAATATATATCAGAGTGTGTAGCAAAAACTATGTACCTATAAAAGCCAAAACAATTTGAAATTTGAAATAGAGGGAGCACATTGTTGAGCTCCTACGCACAAGGCCCTAGAATTTGGCAAGAGCTCACATAGATGAAAGTCATGTTTGGATTTTGGTAAAATGACAATATTTATGGACTAATGGTTTACAAAAGGTTAGGTGAATAGCCCACAAGCAAGACTTGAGCTACATCAGGCCATAAAAGGAGAGATGGCATGATCACATGATGCAAAAGCTCAACAAGAAGAAAGATGGGACGCATTGCCTTCTAAGTATATAATAATATGGATAAGAAGGTAGTAACTCTACCATTTAATTAATAAGAATACAGGGATACTATATACCTTATAACCTATAATTATGCTTACTATTGAAATACAATTTCTGTTGTCCACTAGTCCATCGTCCCTCGCTCCCACCTTCTCGCTTGTACTCCTATCGAGGAGAACTGCTTTCACTCCGATCATGGCTAGACTGCATCCTTCTTTAACAGAGCATTGATTATAGTTTGGAGCTACAAATTTGGCAATTTTCTTTAACAAACCTCAATTGGAATATAAAGAAAACCTATTGCACTTTCAAACCTAATACATTGGATTAAAGACTAGCATCTATATTTGACTCTCACGGCCAGCAAAAGAGAAATCGTTGAAGTTTGTTAAAGAAAATTCTCAATTTTGTATGTACTGTCTGTCTTGGGGATTATGTGTAATTATTGGCTGAAAATATGTGCTTATTAATTACTCCCTCCATCCCAAATTGTAAATCATTCCAAGAATCTTGGAGAGTCAAACTTTTTCAAGTTTGACTAAAATTATAGAAAGAAATATAAAGATTGATGACATCAAATAGGTATAATATGAAAATATAACTAATGAAGAATCTAATTATACTTACTTGGTATGATAAATATTATTATTTTGTTATATAAATTTGGTCAAACTTGAAAAACTTTGACAATCCAAGATTCTTGGAATGACTTACAATTTGGGATGGAGGGAGTATTACCAAAACAACCGTTTAGATAACATGGATTTACTTGAAAATGTGAAATAATTGTGTATCCTTTGCAATATAAAACGAAAAGGCCATTCTGGTTCCAGGGAGGAAACATTCATTATTCGAGTTCCTTCAACAAATATTTTTGTGCTCCAAAGCACAAACGACACACTAAATTCATTGTTGCTCAATATTTGCAACTTTACCATGATGACATGACATTAATCCAGTCCCTTTCATCTTATACAAAACATCATAAATACAAAGCAAACATTTATGCCTATGATATTACAGGTAGCGGAGGTAGGACTATATTAATAGGAAGAATATGACGTCAAACGCCGACGACAGATGAGTGATTTATTTGCACAGAAGTGTATCCAAAATATCTCCGACGGAATCCGTACATTCACATGTAAATGTACTGACAACCATCATAACCTGCAGGACAATACAAAACAACAATAAAATAAGAAATTTGATTCATACTAGTATGTTTTGAATAAAATGTTTTTTTTTAAAAAAATTGCTCCTTGCCAAAAAAGGCCTGGCCCATGCGTTATTCAGTTCAGGCCCACTTGAATACGCACTTCATGGGCCCAGACGGTTCACGGGCCTCGACCCATTCGTCCGGACATGTTTCAAATTCGCAACAGTGCAATGACACTCAAGCTGTTCCTGATGTGAATGAGCGAGAGGGGCTTACTCGGGTTTTTGGTGACGAGCATGGCGGCGCCGCCGAAGTCGCATGTCCCGCTGGCGACCCTGGTGCGCTGCCAGTAACTGTTAAACGCGTAGGAGGCGTGCGCCATCAGCGTGTCCGGCAGGTAGCACGGCCCGCCTGGCGCCGCCATGCTGCAGTCCGCGCCCGACCCGCACGCGTAGTCCATCGCCGCCTGCACGACCGCGCTCGCCGCCGCCGGGTTCGCGACGCACCACAGCCCCGGACGCGCACGCCCTGGCGGGGGCGCCGGGAACGCCACAGGCGGCAGAAAAAGCGGTGCCGGCTGGCTAATACTGCCCGGCGCGATGGACGGCGGGCCGGCAGGCGGGGACGCGCCGGGCGCGCTCGCCACCACCGGCGGCAGCGGGGCCGGCAAGGCAGGCTTTGCGGGGGGAGGGTACACGCAGTACGGCGGCGACGGAGGAACGTTGGCTGCTGGTGCTGGAGCTCCGCCGATCACGTCCTTGTATGGTGGCAACGACGGCGAGTTCACGATGTTGGGGTGCGAGTAATCCCTTGTCCTTGTCGAAGCATCCGCCCAATCTGTTGCCCATGAATCGCATGGGGACAAAGAAAATGAGAAACTAACAAGCATTCTTGTCACCATGAGAAACTATTGTATGATCATGGACAATGCAGAACGAGATTTCGGCTCTGATTGAAACGCGTCAAAATTGCGAATGGACAATGCAATGCAAATAATGTGCACTTGTAGAGTGGAGCAGTTTACTGTTACCATATTGCATAAAGATGATGGGTGCTAGGATGAAGATGAAGCAGTTGTTGATCATGCTTAACCCCATGAGTTTGCCAAAAATTGTAAACGTGGGCTCCCGACGACAACGGAGGATGCATGGGAGAGTGTTATAGTGCTGGAAAGTGATGGTGGACCAGGCGAACAGTATGAATTGGGAAGGCAAGCAAGAATTCACCAGCTGCAAAGCTGCATGTGACTGAATTTTTTAATACTCCGGATGCGCATCAGTTGCAAATGTTTAGCTCTTTTCGCTGTTGATTTCGGCGCCTGCAGGGCTTGGATTATATTCCCCGGCCTTTTCTCCAGGCGAAGTTTTGGCACCTGTGCTTGCGTGGTCAAAGAGAAATTCAAGAAGCGGGAAATAAGAAAAGGAGAAAAGGGAAAAGCAGGGGAGAGACTTTGATCTTGCATGAGCTGTACTGGTCTTTTCTGTTGCTTTGGTTCCACTCCAGCAGAGACAACTGGCTGATCAGTGCCTGTTTAAGTGTATATTACCCACTCCGTGCCTGTTTAAGTTGTTTTTTTAAGTATAACTGGATGTGTAAAAAAATATTAGCAACATTTATATTTTCAGATAAATTTATTATGAAAATTGATTCAAGGATCTATCTATTGATAATACTAATTATGCAATATAATATTAATATTTTCTTGTATATATTTAGTTAAATTTAGAAATTTTTGATTTCTCGAAAAACGAGAACGACATTTATTTTGAGATGGAGAGGGTACATATTGTTCATGTGTGCAGCTCTGGCTAATCAAAAACAACTTCCAATAGAGTGATAATAGGGCTGGCCCAATACTTCAGTGGTCATTGGAGGAGATACTTTAGCAGGTTACTAATAGCCCTTTCCAAATACGTATGGTCAAGAGCAGCTACACTCAACCCATGAACTTCAATTGTTTTGCGATTACACCGTACAACTCTGTCACACTCGATTTTAAGGATAAAATGAGATGTAAAATCTTATGTACGCCTAGAGATTAGTCACACACATAGGCCGATAAATTATAAATAGTATCATCACAAGTGTTTATTACATCACGAATAATAAGACATAGTCTTCACATAAATATAGTGAAAGTATAAAAACAATCTCTCGCGGAAGCTTCATATCACAGGGACGTCAATTGGTTGACCACAAGTCTAGTAATCCTCAGGAAAATCGTTATTACCATAGCCATCTGTTACCCATACGGAGTTTTATCCAAATAATGAAAATAAACAAGCGTAAGTACATGTCGTACTCAACAAGTATAACATGGGGTTCATGAGGCTCAAAAGGCTTGACACAGGTTTAATAGCATTCAGCTTTTAATTGCATAATTTTAGTATAAGAGTACCAACAAGTTGTTTCAATCCTAAAGTAAAACACATGATCAATGTAAATAAGAATAATGAATAGCATAAACGGATAATTCTCAGTGATCATCTATTCTATAAAGGTCCAAGGCCGCTCGTGACCGTGAGCACGACAGATATACCAGTTTTACACTCTGCAGAGGTTGTACACTTTCACTGTGAGTCGTGATACCCAAATACCCAGATTAATTACTCCCAAAACACTTCCAAGGTGAGCCAGACAGGGGTCACTATGAAGCATTTCAAAGGTTCGTCTAACAAGTTAGGGCCGCTAGGTTTATGTGCCCTACGAATGTAGGGCTCCCCTTCCGACAGGCACAAAGACACGTAGCCTATACACTGACGGACAGAGGCCGCACTATATCCAACCCGAAACACCCCCCTCTTGCGCCATAGAGGTAACCTCTAACAGGCTAGAAAATGTCCTTGTACTGAGCTAAAGCCAGAGCTATGTAGCCCTCACAGCTATACTGTAAGTCCCAGATGTTCGGTTACAGATAAATCCTTAGGGAGAGGAATCTAGAGCATTTAGAAAGTAGCTAAACACTCTAGCCTCCTGTTTCCAAGTTACTAAAAAGTCATGTTTTAATGTTTATTGCATATACCATTAGTCAAGTTACAAGATCATGGTTTACTTGAGCGCTAGCAAAGCTACCCAATACATATCCCATAGGAGACAAGATATAAGTTCAATTCTAAGGAATTCCTATCAAGGTGGCACATGCAAACACTTCTTCAACACATGAAATGCATCATGTACACCTGACAAACTCTCAGGCAATTCTAACTGATAAGCTACTTCTCCACGTCTCTCTAAAACCTTAAAAGGCCCAATATACCTTGGTGCTAACTTTCCTTTCATGTTAAACCTTCTCACACTCCTCATAGGTGATACTTCTAGGTAAGCATAATCCCCTATTTCAAAAACCAATTCTCTTCTCCGAGTGTCATCATAACTCTTCTGTCGAGATTGTGCCACTCTCAAGTTATCCCTAATCATCCTTACTTGCTCTTCTGCGTCTCTTAAAACATCCGGTCCGAACACTTGAGTTTCTCCCGTTTGATTCTAAAACAACGGGGTTCTACACTTTTGTCCATATAAAGCCTCGAAAGGTGCCATTTTGAGACTCTTCTTATAACTATTGTTATATGAAAACTCTGCATAAGGCAAGCTCTTGTCCTAACTTGTACCGTACTGCAACGCACAAGCTCTCAACATGTCCTCTAAAATCTGATTAGTTCTCTTAGTTTGTCCATCTGTCTGAGGATGATATGTTGTACTAAAATTCAACTTTGTTCTGAATGAACTATGTACCTGCTGCCAAAAATGTGATGTAAATTGAGTACCTCGACCAGACACAATTTTCTTTGGAATTCCATGTAGACACACTATCTTCTCTATATATAATTGGGCCAACCTCGGTCCATTATAAGTAGTCTTGATCGGTATAAAGTGAGCAACTTTAGTTAACCGATCCACTATCACCCATATTGAATCATGACCTCCCTGAGTGCGTGGTAACCCAACAATAAAATCCATACCAACTTCTTCCCACTTCCACTCAGGTATCTTCATCGGTTGTAATAATCCTGTAGGTCTGTCTTTGATGTTCAGCTTTGACTCTTTGACATGTATCACATATAGCAACATACTCAGCAACATCTCTCTTCAGTCCGTACCACCCATACTTCTCTTTTATATCCAAATACATCTTGGTAGTCTCAGGGTGAATAGAGTAAGCAGACTCATGAGCCTCACGAAGAATTGCATCTCGTATAGACTTAACCTCTAGTACACATAGCCTTTTTCCAAACCACAGAGTTCCATTATCATCCATATGGAAACTTGGTGCCTTATCAATCACTATGTTCTCTACTATCTCTTTCAACTTCGTATCCTGTAACTGGCCCTTGCGTCTCTCTAGCTCCAATGTAGGCTCTATTACCAACTCTACTGCATTAGTGATGAAACCCAAGTTTAGTTGCTTAAGTTCAGCACACAACTCACTTGACAAAGATGACATTTGCACCTCATTGACATAACTCTTTCTGCTAAGAGCATCGGCAACAACGTTCGCCTTCCTAGGATGATAGTGTACTTCCAGATCGTAATCCTTAATCAACTCCAACCATCGACGCTGTCTCATATTCCGATCCGTCTGAGTGAAAATATACTTCAGACTCTTGTGATCAGTATATATGTCACTCTTATGTCCGATAAGATAGTGCCTCCATATTTTCAGAGCATGAACCACCGCTGCTAACTCCAAATCATCAGTAGGATAGTTTAGCTCATGCTTTCTCAACTGTCGGGATGCATAAGCCACTACTCTTCCTTCTTGCATAAGAACACATCCGAGACCTTGATGAAATGCATCACAATATATAGAAAAGTTCTTACTCAAATCTGGCAAAATCAACACTAGGGATGTAGTCAATCTTTTCTTCAATTCCTCAAAGTTGGCCTGGCACTTCTCGGACCACACAAACTTAGCATTTTTCCTCCAACAGAGCCATCATAGGCTTGGCAAGTTTAGAGAAACCTTCTATAGTATCCAGCCAATCCCAAGAAACTACGAATCTCTCCCACATTGGTTGGTGGTTTCCAATTCAACACATCTCTCACCTTGCTTGGATCTACTGCTATTCCACCATTAGAGATAACATGGCCCAGGAAAGAAACTTCCTTCAACCAAAACTCACACTTGCTTCGCTTAGCATACAACTTGTGTTCTCTAAGCTTTTGCAAGACCAACCTTAGATGTTTAGCGTATTCTTCTTCCATTTTGGAGAATACCAATATATCATCGATAAATACCACCACAAACTGATCCAAAAACTCCATGAATACCTTATTCATCAAGTACATAAAGTATGCAGGTGCATTGGTCAAACCAAAGGACATAACGGTGTACTCGTACAAACCATACCTCATAGTAAAAGCTGTCTTGGGTATATCAGTTGCACGAATCTTCAACTGATGATAACCAGAACAAAGATCAATCTTAGAGAAAACACAAGCACCTCTCAACTGATCAAACAAGTCATCAATTCTAAGTAGCGGGTACTTGTTCTTGATTGTAACCTCATTTAGTGACCGATAATCAACACACATCCTCTGTGTACCATCCTTCTTGTTAACAAATATAACCGGTGCTCCCTAAGGTGACGAACTAGGACGAATAAAACCTGTTTACACCAAAATTTGGAAGGAAAGTCACAGGGACCCAGAAGCTCCTAGGATCGTATCATCAAGGGATCAGTTGCGGGCGAATAAAAAACAGCTGGTTTAAATGCAAAATCTAGGAATCGGCTTTCTTCGGATAGCGCCAGCACATGACGACAGAGGCTACACTCAATGCCAGGATGAAAACGTGTTGGACTCTACAAAAAGGGAAAGAGTAGAGTCCAGGTTATCTTAAATTAGGAATGTTTTCTTTAGAGTCAAATTTTGTGATGAATCGTGCTTAGA